CATTAGGATCAGATCGAATGAGACTTGTAGGCATATCGGAATTTTCATTATAGGTTGATCGAAAATCCCATCTTTCTAAATTGTCAATACACCACGGACAAGTAATGTAAGGTTCGACTGCTAATTGTATAAACTTTTGACCTTCACATGATTTCTTCTCTGGTAGTATTTGTTGATCTACACAAAATAAAGCATCAGCCGTTCTGAGCTCTTCAGGCGTTAAATTACCTAAGTTAGTCATATTCCAAATACATGGTACAGTACATCACAATTAATTAAAGTTCCATCATAATTATATTTGAGGTGATGTATATCCATTCGACCATACCATTGTCCTGATATTATATATATTTTTACTTTCTGATTTTTATTTAAATAGCCTGTTAAGTAATGCCTTCGTTTCCATTCTAAAAGGTTTGTAGGTTTAATTTTAAGCTCATTTATAAGGTTTTTTGTGATATTTGGTTCGACTACCTGTATTATTTTTGAATTTTCTGTGTTAATATTTAAGGTTTTTATAACGAACGATGAGGTCATAATAAAACATAGTGCCCATATTGTATAAACAGAATATATTATTGATTTTGTAAAGAATAACATTATCGTAACTGTTATTTTTTTGATCAGATACGTAAATAAACAGCGAGTTTGATTTCAATTAATTACAAACTATACAGGAGACTATTTATAAGACCTGAAAAAAATGTATATGTTATGCGCATATATGCTTAAGGTGAAATTCTTTTTATTGTTGATCAAAAAATTAAAAGATTGGAAATGAAACTTTTATTAAACAATCACCCAATTTTACTAAGAAAATAACTATATTTCACCGGTGGTGAAATTCATCGGCCTAAGAATTTTTAAGGTTAGGGTGCAATTTTGGTATAAAGGGAAGTTTTATATAAAATAATGTAGATTAAATATAAGGTCCCAATTTTAGGTTTTCAGAGGCCCTGGACATTTTTTCTCGATCCCGTTTATTTAGTACCACCGGTTAAAAATAGCAATACTCTTTTACTTAATATTCGAATATAATTTTAGTTCACACTAGTAATTAATGCAGGAACCTCTAGTTAAACCACGGAAATATCTTTTTCCTTCATAGTCAGAATAAGTGTTTCGGGCGAAACTCAAATTTGCAGATCTTTTGCAGATTAAATTGGGCGAAACTAGCTTCGGAGTGTTTCGGATTTCTAGGGAAAACCTAAAATTCCTCTGGGCGAAACATTTGAAAATTAGTTTCGCCCGAAACATTGGTTAGAATTAGGTTAGGGTTAGAGGTTATAGTAAAATTGTTATTTTAATTTATATGACACGGTTTCTTTAAGAGACCTTGCAAAAGTTATTACCGTATAAGCGCGAAATAACGCTCGTGGGCGTTATTTTGAAAATTGGGTTCTTCAAGAATAACTTACGTGCGTATATGGGGTCTTTGCCTTGAAAATGACCCTACAGTATCATGTACCGTAAGGTCATTTTCAAGGCAAAAACCCCATATGGTCTCGAATTAGCGCTCATGGGCGTCCCGATTTAACTCACATCCTAATGATGCACATAATTTATTGTTTCGATAGATAAACAGTCGATACTCCATAAGCATACACTCTATAAGTGTACTTTCCCTATAATGATAAGTTACATAATTTGATTAGTCTAATGTAATATCAGGAACGGAGTGATGCAATTACGAAGTGTATGATTTATTGGCATTTTTGGTGATGTATGTACGCAAAATCTCATAATTGATTGGACAATGCAATAAAACATGAAATCCTCACTTAAACTTCACGATCATTTCTAAAAAATACGTTTTTTTTTATATTATTGTGAACTAACCGAATATGAATTTGTTGTCAACTGTTTTTTTCAGATAACGAAACTCATACAAGATCCCCAAAATGCTGGGTCAGAACCCTAGTTTGGTGGGTCAATATTGATCAATTTTGCCCAAGATCTCTAAAAATTTTACTAATGAAACCATAATCGATCATTAAGTAAAAAATGCACAGCTGATAACTTTACTATAGCGCCTGCTAACCAGCATAGTTAACCCTAACCACAATGCATTCCGGCCCGGAAATTTAGGGATCCTCCTGTGAAAAATGTCTTCAGATAGTCTTCAGAGCCGTTAACGGCTTATCCGAAACCTGGTTTAGCTGCAAGTTAAATCTGTAAAGTCATAGCTCCAGTTTAAGCCATAGTTATTGAAACCACAACTTGGTTATTGCTAGACAATGACTTGAACCATGGCTCAAGCTGTGGTAGATAATACTGTACCGATACAGGACTGCAGTAGTATTGCATGAAAATATTTACGTAGCTTCAGTAATAATCATTTTAAAGCAATATAGTATAGCCATACAAGCATCAACAACTCTAAAAATCTTTAATAGGCTGAAATTAGTCTACAAAACTCTTCATAATATAATATCAGGTTTTCACATGAAATTTTTCTTATTTAATCATTTCAACATTATAAACCAATATACAGTATCAATTAATTTCTCGTTTAAATTTTATTCGTATTGATTTAAAATTCTCTCAAGCACATAATTAATAGGTCGAAACTCAATTTCTAATTGTGGAAAGAGTTTAACCGGTAAGTAGTTCTCTCTATGAAAATAAAAAGCTGAAACCTCCTTTTTTTTGTTATAGACTTGTTCTGATTGGCTAAAATTTATTATCATCATTTTGTGATATGAATCTTTACAAAATTACAGCAAGGAACGCTTCAATTAATCGTAGTACTTTATGCACGATCTCGGTAACTAGCTAATTATATTGAGAGTCTCTAAGTTTAGCAATTATTTATTGGTTTAATTGATCTAAGTATTTAATATGAGCTGTTTACTTCTTATTTAGCTTCTTATCCACATTAGACTGTATAATTATCATCTGCAAATAAGATTTCTAATTATGCAGAATAGTATGACCAGATCTGTATGGTATGGGGTGCGAAATACCCCTATTTTAATATCTACTCCGGCGTTATGTATTATTAGGGTTAGCATTTGTAGATTAGTATGTTATGCTTTTTAAAGAGGTATTTTACCAGTGCTGCTCATTTCACCGACAATCATTTCACTGAAAGTTACTTAGCCGACATCACATAGGGTTAGGATTAGCGTTTTATTAGTTGCAGGCATATATTTTTAGTAAACTGTCACTTGGCGTGATGTCGGCTAAGTGAGTTGTCGGGAAATGAGTGTTGGCAAAATAAGGCGGGTCCGTTTTTATACTCTATACTATATGCATCTAAAAATCTTATGAAATTTCTTTGTTTAAATTATAGTGTCTTATATCAATAGTTATGCTGTATTTAGTTGTATACCCGATAATATTTATTTATTATCAGCAGCTATATATAACTATTCTGTAAATTAAGCTTATATTCTGTGAGTTCTTATGAAAACACTTTTATAAATTTGTACACATTATAAATTTTTTACTGTCACTATTAAAATTTTTTTTGAGAACAGTACAATGTACTGTAACTATTAATTTTCCTGTGTCTCATCACTTCCGCATTTGTCTAATTCTTTAAGTTGTCACTTATCTTCCATAATTGTGCGTACTATCATACGTAGTCATGTTAATCTTACCTTAGTGGTATTAGGCATTATTATGTATTCTTGGTGGCCTAATTCATGCAAGAGCGTTTACGCTCAAAATAGAGAGTTTACGTTCAAAATAGAGCGTATACGCGATTGCATAAATTTGTAATCATTACGCCTTGAGCAAATGGGGAATCTACACGTAAGCGTTGAGATCCCTATGTTGACAATCTGTAAAATTAGAAAGTATATAAGAGTGTGTCTTCATCCTTAGTTGAGGATAACATTCGCCCTCCTAAAATTCCTCAATAAATAAAGGTCATATACATTCACATTCTTTTTATAATAAATGCCTAATAAATCATGAATATCCGAATACCATAATTTATTGCTCAATTAATGTGACCCTTCTAACGTCAACCATCGGAGTTAAACTCGGCATGAAAATACCAAGCTCTCCCTTACGATGGTTACAGTACTCGTAAGTATATACTGTAATAAGTAACTTCATAACGTCATCATGTCAAGCCAGAAACTATGAATACAACTATCATAATTGTAATAATCTATTTCGCATTCTTTGTTATTTATATGGTTATCAACAATTTTTTAAAGATTCGAAGTGAAAATTTACATTTTATGATACTTAATGCAACAATAGTTTACATTCAACTAATCAAAATTGGTTTAAATTTCCATCATAAAATATGAACATTTACAAGTTTCATTATAACCTCTCACATCAATATAGATATACTGAACTTAATTGTGCACCAGAAATGACTGTCGGTGAAGTGAGCAGCACCACTAAGTATGATACTAGATATAACTATTCTGTATCGGGGTTGTTCAATATTTCTAAATCAGGCTTATATTCATTCGTTCCTGGTTTAGCGCGTCAATGTCACGCAGCCACTTATTATGATAATTTTAAACTTATTTGAAGATATTTAATCAGTAATATAAATGTTTTTCTTTTTAGTTCAATTTTCAACCGCCTTTTAATGTAAAAAAAATATCATGTGTTGTCTAGATTAATCAGATTCGGTTTATTCCGAACAGAAATTAAAATTAAATAATATATATTTGGCCAAAAAAATTCTCAATTACAACCATGCGATCGGACAACAATCAGATCAAATTTGATAAAAAAAGTCTATATAGTTGTTAAATAAATCATGACTAGTAAGTCAGAAATTGGTTAATCAGAGTTAATAATTTATATATAATTGATCATGATTTTTATGTTTTTGTAATTTCTTTTTTAAATTTGAAGTTATAAAATTCAATTGTGTGAATGTATTCAATTTTTACGCACATATATTCATATTATAGATGAACATGATGCAACTGCCACGAATTAAATTATACTTTATTTATACTATATTTACATTTCTCTTTGTTGCCCTCTTATCGTTAACAATCATGAAAAGTACTACAAAAATGTCGATTAATAGCTTGATTAAAATGAATCATACTGCATTATTAATTGATAGGCTTAAGGTTAAACCTACAAGCCTTATAGAATGGAAACAAATACATTACATAACAAACTATCTTAATAATAATAAGAAAGTGAAGATATATATAACTTTTGGAAGTTGGTATGTCGATGAAGACTTCCTAAGACTTGAATATAAGTCTGATGGAACCTTAGCCGATTGCGATTTACCATGTATCTGGAAACAAGGAGATCCACTTAGCTTATCTCCTACAGAACTTCAAACGGTTGATGCCCTATTTAATGTTAATTCTCAACCAAGTGAGAAAGAATGGAAAGGGAAAAAAATCATAAAACTTACTTTAGAGCCTAAGACATATTATCCAAATTTCCATATTAATTATGAATTATTTGATATTTATTCGTCGTTTGATGAAGATTCGGATTTACCGATAAGTTACGTTCGAGTTGATCCTGAAATATGGAGAACAATAGAACCTTTTAACTTAACAAGGCTTTCCCCAAATTCAACACTCATCTCATTTATTGCTACTCGTATGACTGAATACAGAAGAACTTTTATTCCATCTCTTCAAGCTCATATATCTGTCGCGTCTTTTGGTAAAGTCTATTCTAATACCCCCTGGCATCTTTATCCTGAATGTTTGAAGTTGGAAAAATTTGAAGCCAAAATTGTGCAATTTCTAAATATCCTTTTTATTTGGCAATTGAAAATTGTCAAGAAAAAGACTATTCTACTGAAAAACTTTGGGATACATTTAAATTAGGTGTCATACCTGTTATATGGGGTGTACCTAATGTTCGTTCATATTTGCCACATCCTAAATCGGCTATTTTAATTGAAGACTTTTCAGACGTCGAAGCTCTTGCAAATTACTTGAAATATTTGGCTAAAAATGAAAAAGCATATTTAGAATATCACAAGTGGAAAACTATGGAGTTTTCAGATGAATTCGAGAAAAAATCATATATTAGTCTGCGTACTATGGAATGTAATATTTGTAAAGAGTAAAGCTTCGGGCGAAATTGTTTTTCAAATTCCGAAATATTTCGGATTTTGTAAGTGGTCCGAAATAAAAATCCG